TCACTCCATCTTTCTTCTTGAACTACATGCGACCTGATTCTCTTAGAACCTGGGATATGTAGGCTGTCCAAAACCAGGACTCGGTTGCACCTTTTTCTTTTATTTTCTTCCTCTTTTGAATAACGATATGGTCAAAACGTAGTCACACGGCTCACTTTATCTTTGCCTGAAAACTTTTAATGTTCCCAAGCAAAGAGGGGCATGCTGTGAGCACCTAATTTTTTACCGTGTTTGAATATTTTCCGCTCCCATCTTCCCAGGCATTTTCCCACTCAACTTTTCTTTGTCCCCCATGCTTGTCCCATATGCTTTGTCCCTCATGCTTGTCCCACATACTTTGTCCCCCACACACAACCCCCCACATATCCCCATTTTCTTTCTTCATGTGAAGGGGGAAAAAGATGACCAAAAATACCATCTTCTTCCCTCTATTAATTCCAGCAAGAGGACACCAAAAAAAAAAGAAAAAAACAGTTCGTGCCTTCCTTTTCACTCATCTTCCTCAGCTTCTAAGCTCACCCAAAATGAGCTTTGCAAGCCCCTCTAAACTCCAGCAAAATCCAGCAGCTTTTTAGCTACAAAAAATACCAAAAATCAGCCTCCAAAACAGATGCAGAACAGCCCAAAAACGAGCTGGAAATCCATCCCAAAACCAGCCCTCTTCTCAGTCCAAAAATGACTCCAAAACAGCCCCGAACAACCTCCTGAAACGCAGCAAAAGTCCAGCTACGAACAACCCCAAAATTCAGCTTTAATACAATCCGAAACTTACCCAAAACAGCCCCAAAATCACTCAAAAACGTAGCTGAAATCACTCTTAAAATACAGAAAAATCAGCATCTAAAACATGACAAAAACAGTCCCAAAACAACCCCATAAACTTCAGCTAAAATCAGTCCCGAAATCCAGCTGAAAGCAGCCCAAAACATCTACAATCTGAAAATCACCATGCAAGTTGTCGTCCTTCAGCCAAAACCAGTAGCTCCTTCCTACTCTGTTATTCACTACAAACGAGCCGAGTTCGAGGCGGTTTGGTCGAGTTTCTTTGAGGTTCCGGCAAGGCATTTGATTTCTTGTTCGAAGTTCTTATTTGCTTGACGATTCAAGAATATTTGCAACTGTAGAGGTCCGATCTTTTTATCTTGTTTGCTTTGTCTGTTTATTGTTCCATTTAGATGATATGTGTTAATATGCCTTTTGCTTGGATTTGTTATTCTCCTTTTGAGCACATAAATTTTCTTAGTTGTTAATTCTTATCGTTAAGCTTATTGGTCTTTGTTGTTGAGTGAGAATCTAGAAGAAACATTTCAGAAAAAATTAAACTTGAAAAAATGAGGATAAGTGATGGTAACCGTAATGCATCTGGTCCTAAGGTTTGGTATTGTAAAAATTTGTTTTCTTTATCAACATATTTTAATCACGTTTAGTTTTTTTTTTCTAACGCTAGTTTTATCATTTGGTCGAATTAATTTCTAACGTTGTCTTAACTGTTTTTATAAAAATTTTATCAATCATTCAATAATCCTCTCTTGATTTGTAATCAGTACTAAATAAAATATTTCCATAACTCTTGAGCCTCACAATAATCTTGACTTAGGAAATAAATAACTCACAATTCGCTAGTTTGCTTTAGGCGCGCTTTTAATTAGTTTATCGCGATTATGTATACGTTCGCGTGGCATAATTATAATTTTTAAAATTAAAATCGAAGTATGTGTTCGTGCAATTTTTGCCAAAACAATCTTAATATAATAAAATGCTATTAATTGTGTACATGTACGAGTGACATGATTTTGGTACAATAAACAAACGGATTCACACACGTGATTCATTTCAAAGATAATTCCATATTTTAATAATTAAAAGCGGATAGAAAAAATATGGAAACCAATAAATTACAGTTTATCCAAAAATAATATAAGTCAAATGTGATCAATTAAGCGACCGTGCTAAAACCACGGGGCTCGGGGAATGCCTTACACCTTCTCCCCGATCAACGGAATTCCTTACCCGGATTTTATTTTCGCAGACCAATAATAATAGAGTCAAATATTCCTTTGACTAGGGATTCAAGTAAAAGGTGACTTGGAACACCCAAAAAATCAATTCCGAGTGGCGACTCTGTAGATAAAATAATCCCTAATCAAGTTTGTCACTTTAATTGGAAAAATTCTTTAACCCACCATCCATAATACACAACATATTTATCTTTTGTGGGGGCATAAAAGGAGGTGTGACACCACGGTCAATTGGTTTCCCTGTGACAAATTAAAAATGAACAAACCCGTGTCATATACTTCTATCTTCTAATTTTAAGCGTTCGGTCTTGTTTGGACAGATGATTAAAATAGAGTTCATATTTTATTATGGTTGAGTTCTTATTGTATTTACATGAAATAGTACTAGTTAAAAAGTGGAGTGCAAAACCCCTCCTCTGCCAAAGTAAGGTTTAGTAGGATACACGCAGAAATCGTAAGAACAAGCAATGAATTTGTTAATTTAATTGGGTTTTTTTTTCTGGATTTATTTGGGCTTTGATCGACTAATGTTCTTGGTTAAAACCGAAGCGTTTCCTTTTGAAAAAGGCACACAGGTCACATAGAAATGAAATTTAAGGAAGGTCACAGCAATAATTCAAGGCATTATTTGGTTAGTGTTTGCGATTGAAATTTACATCGATTACACATGCAAAATAAACTGTGAGAGAAGCGAAAATATAATTCTTGGTAAAAATATAAGAGGAAAGCACCTTATGTAATGGCAGCACCAACATTGTTACTGGATTCTGGTTGTGGAAATTCAAATATTCGATGCACGTGCGTTACTTTTTGCCACGTTCAATGACTTCTTGTGTCCCCAATAAAAAATCAAACTAACAAAAAATAAAATAAAGAGACGGCAGCTGTTTATGTTTCTTAATTTTGTTGCTAGAAATCATCTTTTAGCAAAACGAAGTCAATTTAGTTTGGACTGAAGAACCAGATAGTATAAGATCGAACCGGAAAACTGAATATAGAATTCAGTTTAGCCGATAGAGATACAAGTTCAGTTCAGATATGTTATATCATGACTGTTAAGTAAATAATAATAATAGCAAATTCTTTACTAACGGGTAGTTAAATATTTAAATCTAAATGCACAAATAAAAAAAATCAGCATTCAACAACCAACACAAGATATAGAAGAACGCGTGGAGTGGACAAGACCTTTGCAATTTTCAGTTTTTCAAGTCCAAACATTTACTTTGAACGCATGTAGAGAAATGCTTCTAGTGTTTGTCTTTGTTCAGAGACGACTCAAGTCAGTACGTATAACACTTTCCTCACGGCAACACTTTCATCCATTCCATTGCAAGGATACTGAGGAGTAGTAATGCCTTGTCATAGTCAATTTAATTACACCAACGTAGAAGGCAATAGGAATTTTCCTTGAGGCTATGACTTTTCTGTGTATGGTAGAAAAATAGTAATATTGGTCTTCCTACTTAATAGTATAAAGCCATAACGCTAGAGGAAGCAACCATTCATTATTTTCTGTATCCTTTTCTTTTATTACTTTACTAGAAATCATGGCTGTATTATCAATGAGGGTATTTTTATGTGGAGGTGGATTTCACAAAAGAGAAGAGAAAAAGAAAAAGAAGAGTAGTGTGCGATTGGGTGGTAAAAGGCCAATGGAAAAGTTAGAGAGCAGCATAAGTAGTAAAGCTCTATTGATGATAAAAATGATATCTTGGAGGAAAGTGAAACATGATGATGTTGAAGATGATCAATTAGTAGATTGGGAAGAGGAAAATGCACTGTGGAAGAGAACCATTATTAAAGGAGAAAAGTGTCGACCTTTGGAATTTTCTGGCAAAATTTCTTATGATGCTAATGGGAATCTTGTGTTGGACTGATTGATGAATACTTCACTTCCAACTTCTGCCTTCTTTTTTCTCTCTTTCTCTGCCTTTTTCCCTTCTAGGAGGTGATTGTAAATACTCATGAGTTGGAGACTCTAATTTACGCAAGGGTAATTAAATATGACTAAAGGTAGATGTAGCAGCCGAATAGATCAAAACAGTGGATTATGAGTCTAGTACATGCAAATTTGTGGCTTGGAATTTCCTTCATTATAATTTGTGGTATTTGCAGCTACATCAACAAAACATACCTCTAAAGTTTCATTATCATTTCTTTGGATGAGACCGAAAAGTTGGTTGTTTTCCTTATACAATAATATCATGGTATATTATTAACTTATTAAATATATATTCGGAAATAACTGATCTAGACAGGGAAAAACCTACATCTTTCATCTGATGGGGAAACAATAGTTAGTGCATCACTACCTTTGTGCCCACCAAAATCTTATCTTCTAATTAATCTCTTCATGATTTCCTTTCCCAGCTTCTGTTTCATTTCAGTGTTGACCTAGACAAAAAGGACAAAAACAATTCTAAACTCTGGAATGCATACTTTTAATTCTTCTCTAATTATTCTGTTCCTATACAACTTATATAGAAACCGCAACTTAAAAGGATAATTGTCCTTTAATTTTTATTTTTTCCATCAACCGACGACTTTAAGCTCCTAAAATCAAACTTTAATTTCTAAACGCAAACGGCCCAACACAAACCCTTTCTCTTTTCTTATTTTTCTTGTACTATTGTTCCCATGTTAAGAAAGATATATTCACTGTTTTGTTTGTCGTAATTTAGCTGAAAACTAAGCTTAAAAAAATAAGAGCCATTTGGACACAAGACAGATATAAGGTATCACAAGTGTCCTCGTACCAAATAATTTGTTCTTTGTACTCAATTGACAAGCCATATCAGTTGCAAAATGGGAAGGTAAAACTATTTTAATGACTTAAATATGAAAAATGTTAATTTTTTCTGTACAAATAAAAAAGAAAATGATGCCAAACCAATTGGGACAGAGAGAACAAACCAAAATAGAAGTGGTACGGAAAGGGCTACATCCACTTGTAAGAGCATAGCCGTCATCCTTGACATATGGTCTCAAATCTCAATCCTCAACTCCCAACCAAACCACCAAATTACGACAACCTTATTTTCCTAATTTAAACTTATAATCCTTTTGTTAATAGAGAAAAAGAAGGTTAAAAAAAATTGAACAAGAAAATCAATACATATAGCAACACTACCACCAAATAAACAGATCGTTCCATCAAAACAAAAACAAAAACAAGCAGAAGGTCCTGTAAAATTATATGCAATTCTTGAAACTAAATTTGACCCTATCCTCTGTACTTCACAACCAAACCAAAAGAAAAAAAGCTAAGAGGTGCAAACCAAGCAAAAACTAACTGCCATAACTGGAATTTGGCATACAAAGATCCATAATTTTCTCAGCCACCTCTGTTTCATCTCTGCTTTCTTCTACCAGCTTCTGAACTAAACTCCTCGGCAGCTTCATCTTCAACTGAACAGGTCCATTATTCGGCTTCGAAATCGACAAATCAGAAGCCGATCTTCGTGTTAACATGAGACACTCGAGCCGATCCTTTGCGCTCATCTGAACAGCAGATTTCACTCTTCTTGGAACCCTACTAATTTCTTCTTTAGGAAACAGAGGCAATTCTACTAGGAAATATATTTTGTTTGGCTTCAGTTCTTGTTCTGGTTCTAGTGGCTTAGCTCTGACGCCAAACTTCTTCACTGCTTCTGATTCTAATAGAACATGACCTGGGTAGTCTTTTACTACGTCCAAGGTTGTTACTGGTGTCTTTAGTTTCAAGATTTCGCCGTTAATCTTCATCACCTTTGTCTTCTTCTTATTTCCTCCTATGTTGTTCCCCATTCTAACTAGCTCTGCTTTTCTCTCTAGAGAATCTTGCTTTTTTGGTTTAATGGTTCTCCACTTATATTTTGGTATAATTATATGGACAAGTAACTAACCTTTTGTTAGTGCGTGTGCGTGTGAATTTGTGGAAATGTACTAGAAAAGGTTCCTTTGGTGGATATTTCAGGTAACTAAAAGATTTAACTGAATCCAATATAAATAAAAACTCATAAAAATTTTGAATAAATAATTTTAAAAGCATTGTAAATTGGACGATAAAAATTTAAAGGTTGAATTTGACTCTGATTATTAGTAGTAATTTATTTAAAGGTTCCCACTAAAACCATAATACTACTTTTGAATAATACTAAAGGTGCTTTCACTGGTAATGTACTCAGTGTGTGTTACCTTATTATGGCAAGAGAAATATTTTTTTGAGAACTAAGTGGGAAAAGGGTAAACTCAATTCCGTTACGACAAAATTTTATCTGGAACTGAATGGAAAGCAAGAAACGAAATGAAAAGAGGTTAAGCCTACTTTTTGTAATATATTCACATTGGAGGAGCAGTGTGGAGTTGGGTTTTCTTTGGTTTTGTGATAATCAAGGCTGGTGGGGCGATGCTTTATTGGCGTGGCCTCATTATTGGATAAGGAGGTATAGGTATGGACTGTGGGAAGATAAAATATATAGTTTAAGTTTTGTATACTTGTCATAATATTTTGTACACTTTTAATTCAAGTGACTTGTCGGAAAAGGTTTATAACAAGCATATGTGGCAGCCTGAAATATCTATCAGAAATGATTTATTATAATATATATTAAATTATACGGTTAATGCATATAACTTAAACCTTTAAATTGAATATAAACAGCCTTACCGTTTAAGATTGTCACAAAGTCCTAACCAATTTGCTATGAAGATGTGGACAATAGTGTTTTTGAGTGATTCCAAATTCAAAGACTGTAATCCTCTTTAGTGTGTAAATTAAGGAAATGTTTGTTTTTGTCACACAAAATAAAAAATTTAGACGGTGTGCTTTCATAGAAAAGGTCGAAGGAGGATAAGATCTTTCAGTTGGACTTGCTTGCTATTTAAATGAAAGTATCACTTGATGTTGGTTATAAGGTGAGGCCAAAGGAGAAGGCAAACAAAACCTCCCACTATTACTGCATTCTGTTGGAATAGTTTCCAACTGCTTTCCAGTGCTCGTTCAACTCCACTTTATTTATCTTAAAAATAAAAAATAAAAAGAGCTAATACAATCTTAGTCTACAGATATGTGCTGACGTTTGTGGTGATGCTTGGAAATTCTTATGTATTGGATTAAATTAATGAGTTTGCCGAAAAATGTTAACACTCATTGAAAACATTTAAGTCCTTTTCACGGAAGCCTTGCAAATTCTCCTTTCTATTCAAGTATTTTATAATATAAAGGATATTATTAACAAATACTGCACTTAGAACAAAAATCAAAATATCTTGTTATATTAACTACGAAAGAACTCTGTCACAGCACACTTTGCATATTCAAAGATCCACATTTTATTAATGCTTGCGCCGAGGTTATAAATGATCTTCATGTCACGCATGATAAATAAAAGGGGAAAGAATGTTAGCTTAATTATAATTAAACAATTTTTTATAAGAGAGCAAACAAATAAATCAATAAAGATAATTTTGAATTAACGAATTAAATAATTAACCTATTCATTTATTTATTTTTTTATCAAAACGCTCATATTAACCCAAGCGGTTTAAACCGCACACATTTACCTCATCACTTCAACCCGCACTTGCTCATCAAAAGTAGAGCCCTTTGTCTTCCATTTGTCACCATCAGCGAACATCTATTCTCACGTTTGCGACGACCGGCAACGAAAAAATCTGAATTTATGATCCTTCTAGCAATTGACAACCAACCACTATAGGTATATGCTAAATTGGTTGCTAATGACCACCAGAAAAAAATGGTTTCTTTCTTTTTAAAACTCCATGCTTAGTCAAACACTCAATACAAAAAGAGGGGGGACAGAGAAGAGTAGTACCTTTTGATTCTTCAAGATTTACGATTTATAAGTTCCTTTAGTTGCAGCTGTGTCCCCAGAACTTCTAATAATAGATGGAACTCTTCAGGAACTCTGTCCTTAGCATTAATCCAAGGTCAAGCAAACAGAAGTCATATCTTATATAACCAGTACATTTGGATCACCATCTGCTTCACCTCCCAATGTACCTTAGAGAAAAGCTCACCAGATATCGCTAATTCAAACAGTGTCCATAACATTTGTGGAAACTTGAAGGAGATAAAGGACGGCAGTCTGAAGGTCAACTTGAAACTTCACCTGCAAAGACTTAAAGCTGCAATAAAGTCAGTTAAAGATTGTGTTGCAAGCCCACATACCAGCTATTACAACCACAGAGCAAAACCAGAGTTTGCTGTCTGCCCCTTTGTTAGCAGCTGAAACGGGCTTTAACTTGAGCATTGACTAAATGAAATCCAGAATGTCTCTTTAAATCCTAAAGAGGCCTTACACAAAGTGGATACCCTGAGCGCAAACTGCGCAATGACAAATATGTTTGAAGGAATGGAGTGGATAACTGCTTTTGAAGTGGGACGGAATCTGGTGCCGCATGTCCAGGAGGATCAGTCAAAATTTCTGAGAGTAATCTTACTGGCTTTTCACTTTTAAATTTTTAAGCAGTCTCTGGATTATATGTATCTTGACAGAAAACAGCTCATTTGCAGTGGGAACTCTAAAAAATACTATTCAGCAGAATGAATCCTAGGATGTAAGGCGGGAAAATCACCTACATCATTAGCTAGGACTGCCATTTAGGTGCAAAACATAAAAGCACAACTATACAGGACATAAAGTGGTGGAAATTATTGAAAAAATGCTAGCCTCGTGGAAAATACAGTATCTTTCAGTTGGAGGAAGGTTGAACTTGAGAAACAGTTAGTGCCATTCCAAATCACTCTCTCTCATAGTTAGTCAAAATTCCAGCAAAGGTGGACAATAGGTTAGATAGGATTAAGAGGCTATCTTTGGGAATGGACAGGGGCTCCAAACAGAAACTGTCTCAGAAACTTGTCTACGGACAGGTTCAAAGGGATTGGTTTCCAATAATCACATCAAATAGAATGAGTCTGCGGAAACAAGACTAGAAAAGGGTGAGATTTATTCTCCAAAAACATAGCTTTTAAAGATGGAAATGGCAAGAGACTTAGATTTTTGGAATATCAGACTGGAAGCTTACCACCCAAGGAGATACTTATAGAGATATACCGAGAATCCTGAAACTATGATAAACTAAGAATTGTGCACCAACGAGTCATCAACTTAAAAGAAAGCCTCTTTGGTCATGAATTATTGCATAGCCTTTACCAAGAGACCCATCTTAAGTTCACCACCCATCAATTGTGCAGAATTTATTGGTCTATGAAATTCTGAAAATAAAAGCATCAAGACTCTCTTAACTTCTCCTAAAACCCTTAGCAGCATACCTATTAACAACTATAGGTAATAAAAAACCTTATTTTCATTAGAATCGAGCATTTAACTATGACACAACCACTTCCTGAACCTTGCAGAGTTTGAGATATCAACTCAGAGTCACATGTGCTGCACTACTCTGTAGTCCTACAGAAAACCATCTCCAAAGGACTCACCCGTGCACAGACCCACCTTTGTGTCTGTAAATGACTTACAAGACTGCTCGTCATATCCTAATTCCTGAAAGAAAAACATACCAAAAACCACTGCTTTTATCAAAGTTTTTACCACATTTCAATCTTTTAGCATCATACATTCAAAGATGTATGTCATTGTCAATGGATCTTCACTAAACTGAAAAAAAATTAGTTCTTGTGACGAACTGCACAACCACTGAAGTCACATAAGTACCATTAAATGGAAGCAACTCAGAATTATCAATAATGCATGAAGAGCATTTCATTTATTCAGGAAATGATCCCAATCAATTTTATTAGAAGAAAGCACTAAATACATAGATTTATCGAGTATAACATCATTTACGAATATAATAAAAGGAGCTAATTACAGTCTACAAAAACTCAGAAGGTGAAGCAGCATCTGGCTTCCCAGCATCATTCAAGCCCCCCGGATGCAAGTTTTGCAAAACTTGAGCTGACAATGTCCCCAAACCACCACCCAATCCATCATTCGCCGAGCCAAAAAATTGAAAGACCAACCGAGCCATGATCCCAAGCAAATTCGTTTGGTTCTGGCAAGCATCAGCATGCATTTGCATCATTTGCTTTTCGTGTTCAATCTGCATATTCACCAAACGCTCCCTCCACTCCATTTCTTCCTCCTCCCATTTCTCCTCCAACTTCATCCTTCGCCTCCTCTCCTCATCGAATTCCCTCTCTAACCTCAACCGTTTCTCGCACTCCCTCTTTGCCCACATCATCTGCCTCTCTTCCAACATCAATCCCTTTATCTCAATCTCCTCATCCCTCTCATCATCTCTTCTTTCCCTGCACAATTCCATTCCTTTCCTTCTTTCTTCTCTCTCCAACATACCCTTCTCCTTACTCCACTCCCTCTCTCTCCTCTTCTCTTCCCTCCTCACTAAAACATCCCTTAACTCCAACACTTGTCCACCCACCATCCTAATCCTTTTTCCGCAAAACCCTTTCTTCATTTCCTCTCCCTCCCCACTTCCACCATCCTCATCATCTTCCTCCTCGTTCTCGAACTCCTCACTATCAATCCCAAACCCCAAACCCAATACACTCTCATCACCATAAAGCTCAATGATATTATTATCATTATTGGGGGCATTTTCTTTGGCAATATCCAATTCAACATCCCCAAACACTTCCTTATACTTCAAGAAATTTTCCCAGTGGTTTTCACCATCTTTCCAATTGAACTCGTTGTTTGAAGTTCTGATTTTTTGCTTGACACCCAGATACTGGTGACGCATGTTCTGAACTTTAATGGACACGTCACGCCAGGACCATCTGAAAGGGAAGTGAAGTGGGTCTTGTAGGTGATGTACGGAGTTGACATGGTCGGCAATTGGTTTGAATTTTTTCTCTCTGGTTTTGAGCTTGGCTAACGTGCCGGAGTTGAGCAGGTCGGAGTACTTTGTGAGCAGAGTTTGTTCTTCCATTTCTGACCATTTCTTGCGCTTCATCTTGTTGATCAAACTGTTG